TCTATATCACTTTACACACAGTCAGGTTAATAATATAACAAAACAAATATCGCAAGCTTTCCTCTCAACTAGTTAGACATCGAATTGTTTGATGCTTCTATTTGAAATTAAAGAAGAAGGTGAGCGAACGCTTTTCTTTTTTTTTTTCATTTTTGACAATTTATTTTGGCCAATAAGCATTTTCATTGGTAATTTCTAGATATTATTATGTTATACTTGTTTGTGACTGTTGGCTCTACGAAGTGGCACTTCGTTGGGTAGTTCCTACATGCACGTGCACAACCTAATGTGCACGTAACAACAACGTAGCAATATCCATTTACTCTTCTCTCATTGATAGCCCATTAATGAAACGTATGAAACGTACTCAAAATATATAAAGGTTTTCTAGGCTAGCCTATTGTAGATTGAGTATTTTTTTTTTTTTGCTTTACTGTACATGTTTGTACACTAAATAGACATAAAAAAAAATTTAACTGAGTTTAAAAAGGCAAAAAGCCACATTATACAGTGTTAGAAAAATGTTAGCGTCTTATCTGATTGTATCACTTTCTAAATGCCTCTATATTGGTGTTAATGCAAGAGAGTGACTATTCACTGCCATTTTTAAAAAGTAAGTATTTCAGCGCGCTAACTTACGCTTACCTCGTTACGATGAGCTTTGAACTCTGCCAGAAACCCACTGGAATGTTCGCTGTGCACCAGCATGGGACGTTGCAAATATGGTTCACTGATATTTTTGAAAGACTAATTGATTTTAAATTTAACGCAGCAGCAGCAATATGAGCATATTTTCAAGATATTTTCCTACCATGGTCTTGACAGGACATAATTGGTGCTCTTGACTCAAACGAACCCGTGTGTGGTACCTGGCTCTTTTACGCTTGCGCCCCTTTGTTGGACTCTGTTATCTGCCGCCCCCCACTCGTAAATTCATTCGCTTGTTTCTCTATTATCACTCCTCCACTGAACTTCATCCAATTGCAAAAAACACACAGACAAAGTTCAAAAAATGCTCTATCGTGTACTCTACCGGACCGGTACATAAAAACGTTTCATTCTTGAACTTAACCAAAACGTAAAATAACAACAATGCAATAATTATTACACCACCTTTATTATGCTATATAATTATAAAATGAAAACAATTTATTTATTTCCTAATTTAGCAGAAGAAATTTAGCAGCATCGTCGTATTGAAACGATATTACAGAGTACGACATAGAATGCGTAAGTAGATAGGTAACGAACGTATAAACCATCATTGGAGGAGTGTATCACTTCTGGTCGGCTAGACACGTCTGGGATTCGGAGCCTACGTGTCGGCGGACAGAGTCAATGCGAACACCGTTAGCGTTTGACTGACTTTAAAAAAAAAACACCCAAAAGTTGATAACAGGCGTTAAGCCCGTACATTTAAATTCTACTGCCGCCATTGTTTCGTCAATTAATCTCAATGTATCCAAATACGACGGCATAGTCTTTTTTTCTCATAACGATAGGAAATACCGACGTTCTCGCAGCTTTTACTGATATATCCTAATTCCGACTCTATATTTTAATACGAAATTCGTCCAGGCAAACATATTGGCCCCTACTACACTTAACCAGCGTGTGTCGTCGTTTTCTACCCTAGTTTGCCTATTGCTATTTTTCGAGAAGTGTTTAATGCTCCACAGTCACAAATGAATGACGCCCGATTGAATTAAGGTGTGCGTAAAAAAAAATTGTAGTCAAATATTTAGATCTATAAAGATGTAATATTGCAGCTTGTTCGCCAATATCGAGCTGATAAGCTTAAAGCTTTACAGGGACACTTGCCCCCTGTATACGTAGGCCCCGCTGGGCAAATGTATGTGCTGTCCCAAACAATGTGCTCTATCACATGCGCCGATAGAGAAACGTGCAACAAAGGAAAACATTGTTTCTATTTATCGAATTTATACCATGCTTAGAATTACCGACAATATCGAATATAACGCACGAAGAAATTTTGAGAGGTGCTTGGACACTGGGCTTACCAAGTCATTAATAGGTACCCGTCACCCCCTTTTGCTTCAAAGTGGAGTTCACCTTACATCAACGAACGAATTACGCGGGGTCGTTCGGAGTGGCGTGACATAGACGAATATGTAAATAGTAAGTTCAATACCGTACGGGAACTAGACACAGCGAACTTTCCGCTATTCCGATCGATTTTACTGGTCGGGCCCTCAAAGAAGGATTTTTCTCTTGATCATAGCATTCCTCATTGTCGAGCGGTGTAGTTAGGTAGCGAATCGATGAAATCATTGTTCAGCGGAACACTTCACAAGAAGTCGCATTTCTACTAGCCTTCACGAGCACAGGAACCTATCCGCGTACCGATATCCGATTTATTCGAATATAATTGCTAAACTTGATTTATTTCGACCGTAGTTGACTTCTTAATTATCTTGATAAAGTACATGTTCTAACGGAAGCCGGCTCCAGAGCAGAAAGGATGGCTCTATCTAATGTATCCGGGGTTTACATACGCAACTTGAAGTTCAAGATATCTACTGGAACACTTCGGTAGGCACAGTCAATAGGTAAAGGTTACTTAATGACTCCAGCGTTTTGTCTCTCTTCTGTCATTGTTGGAGCAATGATTTACGTAATCATTATGCGTACGATCCGCGTTCCGTTGAGTACGAGTGGAGCTGCCCATAGACACACAAGAGCAAGTGGCCACTGGAAATTGTCGTCTGGAGCAGTCGATCTGCCGTGGGACTGCTTACCCAGTAACAGGTTCCAGTAACAGGTGCACCATTAAATTCGTGAATTTCGACCCAAACATCTATAGCTACTACAACGTTGAATAGGAAGCAGTTTACTAAAAAAAAATCGTGTTCTGTCGGAGTTTAGTTGTTTGTTCAAGTTGACGTTGGACTTGAATTATCTAAGCTCAGAAGTAAAATGGAAATAAATAACTTCGATTCGATACTTACCCAAATTCATCAATAGTCACTTATCATATGAATCATCGGTTCATCAGGACGCAGTGAAGCATAATGGTACAGAAATAGCATAATATCGGAACATGATTTTGAATAACTCAGATTTTAGAAGAATCATGCACAGAAAGTGAAGGCTATGTTCCCTATAAATTGCTAGCTTATGTCTTATTTAAGGTAATCTCGCCTACCAAGATCCGACACCACATTAACACTACTATGTTGGGAGAATTCAGGATCTGTAGATAAGTGGCTATTTGATTGAACGTTGTTTGAGTATCCCTCTGTCTGCGCAAGGTACTAGCAGTTGATTCGTATAACAGAAATTTATATATATGATTTGGCAGCTAAATGTACATATGATCATTGTTCACATTTTTGTATGCCAACTGGCTAATTGTATATATATATATATATATATATATATATATATATATATATATATATATATATATATATAACAGTACTAATGTACATGGCAGCGTCGGGCCTGTCGGCAATTCGCCCGAAGATAAACTTAATGGCGTCTGTTCGCGATGTAGAAAATGGTTCATCAAAATAGAAACAGTGGAAAACCTTGGCTTAGGCCAAGTAGAGTACTTTATAGATCGAACAGAATATTGTTTAATATAGATGTCGCCTAATAGAACTACCTCGTTGACAATACAACGTTTACGTGAAGTCCACATAGGCAAATGTTTACGATATAAGCCCTAGACTGAAACGAGTCAAGTCCAATGATGATTTTACGAAATCAGCTGTGGTAGTAAGTCGAGCTATTAATCTATGAAAGTTTGTTTTTATTTAAAAGAAAATCTATCTGATAGGTACACAAGCCTTGATTATTGGGCTTTGTTGTGATTTTCTATAAACGTCTATACATATATAAAAATGTGTTCCCGTGCCAAAATTAGTAAGGACAGACTTGAATAAGGCCGCCAGAGAGTAAGGGAACTGAATTCTCTATATGGACGAGCCGCAGGCAGAGTTAGCTTGCTCCAGCTCACTCACATAACTTGTACGTATGTGTTACAACCTATTAATGAAACAGTCATAGTCAATCTGTTTATTTTTTGGTTTGAAAGATTAGTTCATCATAAACCAGAGCCTTGAAATGCGTTGTCTCTATCCTAGCACTAAAAATTCAATGTAAGCCGATCCAGCTTTTTACAACTGGTAAATGCTACACTGCAATAGGAAGGTCTCGTTTAGATGTGAGAAAGGCAGTATGAACTCTGTCTGAGTCGGGCAAAGGAAGAGTAACCTCTCAAAAATAACTATTCGAACGGTGGTTGTAAATATTTTCATACAAAATGATTAGATTTCCAAAGTGGACCCTTTACAATGTGTTGTACATGAACATTTCCAAGATTATGTGAATTAGACGTCGTTCATCATTCCAAGGCAGGACCTGCCAGTGATGACCGAATTGGCAGGTAGCCTCAGCTGCACGATGATGGTACGTTCGATATGCGCAACAGTAGAGTTGTTCTCGACCTCCTCAATGGTCACCTCAAGCACCCAATCGTAACGGCCTCAATCAGTGTCATTACAAAGGCATGTCCATTGAACCTACTGTTGCGTTTGACATTCTATTATAAACATCATCCGGATGATTACCCTTCTTTAACTACATTTAGCTCTTATAATAGGATGCGATGCGCGACGATTACTGTTACCGCATTGCACAATTTCAGGTCAGACAAGGTCTCAGATATACTCGAGTAGAAAGTCATCGTCTGACTATAGTAGTCCGAAAAGACTTTGACCTTCTACACTCTAAGATGCTCGAGTCAAGCTGTGGCCCCCTTTACCCCTTACCGCTAAGCGTCAATCGCTTATTTTCTTTCTCTTTCATACACTCTCGTTCTCCGGTAGCAAAGAGACGATAGTTGATTCTTGTGTATTATTTGAAATGTGGTGTTGTGCGCCCCCTTGTGGCCGTCACTGCACGACAAAGTCCTAACGAAAGCCGTCGCGTCGCCTGAGAGTGCCGCTGAAAATGGAGAGTGAAAACAGTTGACGGCAGTACTCATGGCGGTTCCGTTCCCTCCGTACTCGCCATCAGCTCAGATATCACTCGAGAGCAAAAACTATTGGCAAGAGGCTTGCCGCCTTCAAACTAAGGGACTCGTTGCCTGTGAATTGTTGTCGACGACTCTTTTTATACCCTAGAAGTTGTTGTCTGCCCGTGACCCCACTATAACAGCCGGTGTTAATGTTCTAGAAACGTAGCAAGTGGCAGTCCGAAATGCCTCTGGAATCCACCATCGGTTCGATTTCGCGCAGCTAAGTTGTTAGGAAGCTAGTAACTAATCCCCGCTACGCGAGCGTATTTTTGAAACATCCGTCCTGCATTGTCTAAATAGAAACCTACAGTGTAATAGGTCAGCTCGTTATTACCGTCGAATCGTATACCAAATGCTCGTGTTTGATGTGTAGTGGCTTTGTAAACAATTCATCCAACTCTGATGAAATTCACAAATGATATTCCCTATGATCAGATCTTGATCGCTGTATCCCTAGTTGATTCCACAAAAGGCTCCGCTCGGTGGAGTTGTACGACTGGTGGCAAATCTTTCGAAGCGGTGCATTATTTCTTTTTCTATACAAATAGTGAACATTCGGAGTTATCGTATCGCGGGTGTCTTTTCACAAAGACCCGCTAATCTACAGTGCGATATGAGTCAATCCATTGCTCGCTTTTACCCTAACACGGATATACACGTTGAGCAAAGTGTATTAGATTTTGTTAAGGACAGATGTCAACGCTACGCCGAGAAAACTGCTATAGTAAGTAAAGCTATGCCACTTAAAGAAAACAATAAGGGGTCATGTAAATTTTCAGCCTATTTAGTCAAATCTGCCAGGACAGATATGTATCTAAAAAGTACTGCACGACTTTGAGTGCGCGGTGTCGAGACTGCATTGCCTTGGACAAGATTAATAAGCTGCGGTGATATAAAGGCTACAAAGGGAATGCAGCTGATGCGGCGGCGCGTATGCGCACGCTTTCTTCATAGTAGTGCCTTAAGCGACTCCAAGGCCAAAGTTGTAAGGCACTCTGCACCGAAGGTCGGCCAAGAATAAAAACGCAGTCTTTTAGCTGCAAACATGTCAATAAGGTTGTTAAAACTTTTTCAAGCTTTATTTTAAATGCTTTTTTGGTATAACTAACTTTGTACTGTGTTGCTTTTTTTTGATTACTATTAAGTACCTTTTTTCAATGAACATAGCTATGATTAGCGCATTAATTTTCAACGTAAGTGATACGCTTTGTCAGCTGACAAATTCGTTCATTTTTAAACGGACCTAAAAGCAACTCGTAAGACTCTGTTACGTCTGATTGCCAAATTGATTAGACACCGCTGAAGCAATCCATTTTAGTGATTCATCACTGAGGATCCTGATGAAAACCTGATAGATCGGCAGTGCACCTTCCACCCTGGTATGGCGCCTTCACTATTTGTATCCCGCTCTTGATACGTAAGGTCTATTACCTAAGAATTTATATGAACTTGACTGTGATAACTTTAAGTTTGCATAATTTTTTTTAGAAAAAAAGAATACGCTTTACTAGAAACCACTGCGCTATTAGTGTAGTTCGAGCGCTTCTAATGGCCCTTGAATAGATTCGTCTGCCAAATCTTGATTCGCTATTTAAAAATAATGCCGTACGGTCACACGTTTTGAACGTCGATCAGTATATCTAGGGCTAATAAAGACCTGGAAGGATAGCTTAGAAATTGTGCCTTATGTAAAACGCCTACTTTAAGGAGGCCTTAACACATCTTACAGGCATTTTGCCAACAATCAGTTGCTCTACTATTCTAATTAAAGTGAAATGCGAGTAAAAGACTCAGTTTATCGATACGTTTCATTGTAACTTTAGATACATTTTTCAAGTTAGGCCCACCCCTTTAATGTTAGATATGGGCCTTTGTGCGCGCAAAATTTAAGCCTGCTGTATAATGTAATTCTTTTACATGTGCATGAAAACGTCATTCCCATTTACGTATTTACTGCAGATCCATTCCTAACATTTACTTACTACAGACCGATTTTCGGGCTTTTACGACTCAAATGAAACACTACAAATAATACAGATTTGAAAAAAATGAAAGATTTGCATTACTACCAGTTACCTAGACTTCCATCAACCTAAACTTCGTTAGTGTACGTAGGAGTGCTCTACGTTAGCATGTCAAATAATGCCTTATCATGTACACTGTTTAACGATGCCCATTGTTTTTCTACGGGCAGATTGATGCGCGTCTGGGGTTGCAGTGGTCGTTTGCCGCGCTCTTCACTCGAGTGAAACAGCTTCGCGCGTTTCTACTTCGAAACGGAGTGTCCAGCGGCGAGCACGTAGCTATTCACGCCTACAATGGAATTGAGACTTACACCTCTATATGGGCCATCGCCTGCGTACCCGCCGTCGCAGTCCTTATCAGGCCAAGCTTCAAATATCGTTAGTTGAAATGATTACAAAAATAACGCGATACGACTTACAATGGCTATTTATCGAATAGCTCTAATGAACAGCTTTTAACATGGTTCAATTCAGCCGCATCCTGCCACGAGGATGTAACATGTAACTAACTCTTAGCTATCTATTCCTAGGTGAAACAAAGAGCGTTCTCAGTATATCGCAATGTTCAACTGTGATCACGGACATAGATCATCTCGTCACCGTTCTTACAATTCAAGAGAAGCTTAATGCAATTAAGGTAATATATATATACATATATTTTTAGCACATTCGATATAGGAGTGCTTTACGAGGGCGAATAATTGTGAAATAGATCAGCTTGATCAGGGGGTGCACCAGAATATACCCCTTAGTTTCAGCAAATATGGAAATAGAATTCGTGGACGAGAATCATGCTGTCGCCAAAAACGACTACTGAATAAAGCTTTTCATTGTACTTGCCTGACCAGCAAACAATGACGACTGTGTATAACGCGTTGATACCAAAGTAGCTTTAAGTAAAAAACAAAATAAAAAAATCGTCGATTCATTAAAATCGAAAACTTGAAGCTGATCGAACTGAACCAGGCCGACAGATAGGGCCGCTCAAAATCCACTATATTGAATCGAACGCCTTCAACTGCACTGATCTCTCATATCATAATGATTAGAAGAAGATTTTAGCATCGATTTTATTATCACTTCAAGTTTAGTGGGAATCATTCGACGGATGAATTGTGAAGGGGGCATGGCGTTGTGGTGGCACCGAATCACAAAAACCTTTCGTGGATGAACTGTTCCATGGCCCGAGAACGTGTTCTGAGTAGTATTTAGTAATACTGTTAATAGCAGGAAGATAGAATCCTTTACACTTTGCTAACTTACATACACTACGATATTATCACGGTATAATCCATCTCACAAGCAACATCGAGATGTCATCGCACAGCTCTAGCTTGGATCAGATATTCTATAATATATAATTTAAATATAATCAACTGCCACATAATTGGATCGTTGAACGACTAGAACTTTTTTCATAAGCTTCTTTTTTTTCCGTCGTTCCTTTACATAGGAAAGCAGCGTAGAAGAAAATGTCTTCTTCCGAACTTTACGATTTTCGCCGGTATTTTCATTATATCGGCTATATAACGAACGCTTAGATTTGCAGTAGAAACCCTTTAAAGGTAAGCTTTTGATCCACACTTTACGCGTTATGACAACTGATTACGAAGCGAAAATCTCTCATTAATAAAGATCGTTATTCGAAAAAAAGTTCAGAGTTTTCTTGCTTCGCTCCTTCTGAACTTGATGAGTGATTATTCTTCGGATCACAGACGTATATATTAGATATTTAGGGCATAGCTGATGACTATATGTCCGGTGGATTATTTTCATACATTTTGCAGAAAATTTTTGTTATTGGCGACTCTGATACGCGCTACCCATCAGTGTCCCAACTGTTTCGATCGACCCCAATGGAGGATGATGAGGTCAGGAACGAATTTGACGGCGAACCTAGCAGGGACCTATCTAAGACTACAGTGTTTATGGTACCCACCTCGGGTACGACAGGAAGGCCTAAGCTCGTTGAGCACACTCATCGCAGTTATCTAAGCAGTTTTCACATCGGAGAGTAAGTTTTCCAATGTCCTTTGCTGGAACAGTCATCAAAGGGACTTATGCAAGTACACATAGAAACCGAGTTACTTCTCGTATCCTTGAGTTGATAAGTATATTTAGTTACTTTGCTTTTTTGTAACGTTCGAGGTCCGATCCTTCCCTTTCTTCGTTTGTGCAAGTAAAAATAGTACGCATGGCTCATGGAGTAAGTCCATGGTACCGCGGAACAGACGAGGCCATAACGAAGGACAATAAAACGTAATGCTATAAGATAAAAAAAAAGAAAAGGATCAGACTAGTAGGCTGTATTTAATAAACAAATGTGCACACATGTCATAGGATCGTTAAATTTGATTGTGAACAAATACATCGCAGATAAATAGTGTTTTGCTATTAACAAGTAACTTGATTGTCTGCTATCATTGTCGGTATTATGATCCTCCGACGTGGCTTGTTCTGTAAAAAGCTTCTAATAGCAGCTTGTTTACATTAATCTTTCTAGTCCATATATGAACGTGTTCTGTAGAAACGATGTATTAGTCACATGGGCAAGCCTGACACATGTTACGGGCGTTTGGAAGATGGGGGGATGTCTGCATGCAGGGGCCGCTTTAGTCGTTACTCGCTTTGATAATCTGCCGACCTATGACGACATGCGCACCATCTGCAACCGATACCAGGTTTAGTATCATACGATTCTAATATGGCTAACTCATCTGTGCCATTAAGTACAGTAGATCATACTTATTATCTTCAATCATAACTATTTACCACTGCGCATTGTCGTTGCATATCGGGAAAGAAGATACACATCGTTCATTATCAAGTTAACATTGATTTATGACTGTAATCTCAACAGGTGACGACTTTCATGATATTTCCCACGATGTCTCGAGTGATCCTTATGAATGCCAACGGAGAACCCACGATGTCGGTCAGAAACATCATCTGCGCAGGTAGCCGAGCTACTCCTGGTCTTGAACATTTAATGCGCCGTTGGTTCCCAAATCTAAAACAATTGCGCAACCGTAAGTTTCTATTACTGGATTTTGTTAAGAACAATGTTACTTTGAAGAAGCTAAATTGAAGTTTCCGCTGAATGAACCAAGTGTCTGATGTGGCTACTTTCAGTGTTGGGCCAGACTGAGGCAATGATCTATGTCTCAATTACTCCCTCTGGCGAATTTGACCTCCGTTCAATTGGTTATCCGCCGTCGAATTGCCAACTTCGTTTGCTCGATACGGAAACAGGTGAGGAGGTTGCCTCAGGGGAAATCGGCGAAATCGTCATCAAAAGCCCTTCGCTGATGAAAGGCTACTTTCAAAATCCATGCGAGACAAGCGCAGTATTCACTGAGGACGGATGGCTTAAGACTGGTAAGCTGTCCTGCTATATGCCATGATTACAATATATGTCGATCAGGTCAGTTTATATTGTTCGGAAAGTAACGAACAGAGGTTAAATGGTTCGTCTTCTATAATTCTCCACTTGTTAATGCTGCATGTTTACGAGTCGTCGAATTGGAGAAACTATCTTTCTATTGTCGTAAACTGTCGCCACCGAATTTTATCCCTGAACTGAGTTACAGCAGTATTTCAGATTGGCGTGTCGAGTGCCAAAGAAATCAGTTGCAGGAACAACTTTTCGACGATGCTACAACACGCAGAAACGATAACTCTTCACATCGCGTAGGACATATATGTTCATCTCATCGATGCTGACTATCCGCAGTCCAAGTCTGGCCTTCGCTGGTCTTGCTAGGAGATTGAAGTGGGCCCAATCCTAGATAATTCCGCAGTAGTACTTCGAGGTCAGATCTGGATTGATTCACATATGTAGAGAAAAAATTGGGGATCATCCGCGGCTTGAAAACCTTTATTTGGGCCCATCTACCATTGTTTTTTTAAGACTTTTTAATGCGCGAATAAGTGTCGGAAACGCTGGCTTTTGTCAACAGAAGTATCATACTGGAGTCCAAACCCAAAAAAACGATTACAACAGCTTAAGAGAGCGAAGTATGACGATTTGAGCCCCTGCAAGAGGCCGATCTACGTCTAGACGACTGCCTCATAGGATGCAGGTCTGAGCATTGTATTCTAGCAATGAAAAAAAACAAGCCTTCAATTAGATATATTTTGATATTTTAAAAGCATATAACAGAGCCTATGGTTATCGCTTTATTTCAAAGTTACATGAACTTCAAATATACAGCAAAACTTTCCCTGGAGTTACTGTAGAAAAGTGAATGGCAAATTTAGTTAGGAGAATGGCCGTCGGGGGTGCTGCAGGAATCGTGTAGATACCCACACTTTTCCTGCCGCTTACTGCCAATCATTTTTGGTGCCAAATAAATTATTCTAAGGGCATGAGTTATAACTGTGTCCGGCTGATGTGAGATATGATCCGTCCGGTAGTGTTAATGGAGAGAGAGTTCCTGCGACCCTCAGTTAACGCAGTATTGAGGTACCGTGACGTCGAAATGTTATTTCGTAATTAACGCAATCTCTGTACGCGCTTTAAAACATCTCCTCGCGTCTACAGAACAGACAATTCATAATTTACGAGTCTTGTTGGATATATGGTGCCTACACCTCAAAGAAACATATAGATACAGGCGGCAATTTGTTCCTTGAGCCAATACAAGATGTTATACTTCTTGGGAGTTAATCACACTCACACCGATAAGTTAGCCGCGCGAAACAGTTAATATTATAATTTAAAAAATAGACCTGGTGGTAATATGCACGTGGTGGCAGAGTATTAGCTGCCACGCGTTAGACTAATTAAGACCATTTTGCCGTGGAGGCTGATGCCTTCGCTAGGATCAAATAGTTTATGCTCTTAAGTTAAATACAAATGCTAATAATAAATCAATTTATTACAGACTTCCATGCATGTATTACATGTTCGTACGCCTTCAGTGATGTCGCTTAGCTGATAATAAGTACGTTTATGAAGCGCCAGAAGAAAAGATATCTGTTGTAACATGCTACAGATTTTAAGCTGCTGTAGATCACCTCTGTACATGCAAGTCAAAACGAACCGTCATGTCCGTATCGGGTGATTCTGCTGCGTTTCTGCCCAATGTCTATATTGAAACTGTTCGTTTCTCTAGGTGACCTCGCCTATCAGGACTCAGTAACAGGCCGGTACTACTATGTGGATCGTATAAAGGAAATGATCTTTTGTAAGGATAACCGAATCTATCCCGGAGAACTGGAAATCGTCCTTATGGAGCACATGTGCGTTGCAGAAGCCGCTGTTATAGGTGTACCGCATCCAGCTATCGGGGAAGCACCCGCGGCGCTTGTCGAATTGAAAAACGGGACTCAGCCTTCAGAGCAGCTTCGCAAGGAGATAGCAGATCTTGTCGAATGTGAGTGTATTCAGACAAAAAAAAAGAAAAGCTGAGTTCATTTTGAAAATATTCGACTGATTTGAAAAGGGTTCTGCTTTGTTTGAAGGTGCGTGATTTTGGTTGAAGAACAACCAATTAAATATCACAATGGGAAGCATATGGTCTCATAGACTTTGGAAAAAAAAGCATGCGCCGCATGGTACGGCTCAAATAACTATTATCACCATTTTACACTGCCAACTGAATTTCTACTGCCATATAATGAGCGAGACGTTAGCCAGAAAATTTAATAAATGTCCAAATGCCAAATGGATATATCGCTTGGCCAAAGAATATATCGCTTTTAACAGCTTCGAAATATCCAAACAACATCGACATATAACTAAGTGTGAACGCTTGATCTTACAGCTCAACTGGCAAGCTTCAAAGTGCTTTATGGAGGTGTACATTTTGTAGAAAGGCTTCCCCGAACAGAACTAAACAAGGTGGCGCGACGCAGACTCCGGGAGCTTCTACCTGATATTGCACCTGCATATGCGCGATGATAACAAATATTCTCTGAAAAAGGTTGACTTCGACGTTTTGTGGTCTATGATAAATAGCAGAAGGCGCAATAAATTTAGGATGTACATACATCGGTTGTGGTCAGTTATCGAAAACAAAATTAACATATATCTTACCTTATATAAGAATGGAAAACTTAGTAGCGAGGCATACCCTTGTCAAATGTGTACATCGCTGGCGTTGTTTCAACGAAGAGGCAACAAAAATGTAGTGGTCCTTTTTGTCGAAGCTACAGTTTACTTAAACGAGTCTCAGAGTTAGCTGGTGATGATAAATAATGTTTCTAATAAACACCTTAAGCTTAATTCCAGTATATCGAAGGTAAAGGAACTTTGAATAGCGAGATCAGCCAAAAAGGAAATAACATCAAATGTCAAGGTCGTAGTTACTACTAGAACTGGTAGGCTTAATGAAGACCTATGTTAATTTTCTCTACCAGTGTGAACATCTATCAGGCTATATCTAATTTCGATAGTCTACCTAGGATAAAGGCAGCATTTCACACGGGGTCAAATCTTATGATTTATGTCTGAGCCACGGAATGGGTGTTCACCCATTCCACCACCGACAGTGAATACGGAACTGATGAATTTTCAATTTGAACTTTCAATTAAATCTAATATTTATAAAAACATGAATATTTAAGGATATTCGACATACTACACTATGCAAACCAGTTGTCGCAGTGGGTCGTAGGTCCTATGGCATAAATGATAAAATCTAGCGCTTTCGAATAAGAAATATGCAATATATCTACCTAAAAGCAGGCAGAGGAGTGGTTAGGGGATCTGTAACGGTTAGAAAGTATGAAGTCTATATCAGTTAGGTCTCGAGCATTCGAGTGTGCGAACCTTCGTAGTACGAATGTCGTATTTTTCTCATAGCTAGAATTTAGCATTTTGTAGCAATAATTAGCAAAACCTTCAACTCTAAAAGAAATCAATTTCATACTGCCTGTACCAGGCTCGACGGACACAATTTCCATTGCGCAGACTGCACAGCTTCAAAAAGAATCCTTCATCATCAATCCTTGTTACTTCTTGTTTGTCAGTTGTTCACATCATGTTTTTATGTCTTACATCTGGTACTTAATATGTCAGGCGCCTCGCTTTCGGCACCAAACGAAATTCGTCTACGGCGAGATTCGCACCACGTGCTCCAAATTGCAGCAGGCAAATACGTCAGCCGCTGCCTTGTCGCGTGGGCTGTCAAGAGCACAAAGAAAATTATGGTAGCTTGTGGTGATGATACAAGCTAAGCGGCAATTACTTCTAGTACATAAACATATATTTATGGATGGTCAAACCTCACTCTCTGATACATCTCTCAACGTTTACGTAGAAAAGTGCCGCCGAAATCTGATCATATTGAATGCTTCTTGCGCATAGGTATTTTGCACATAAGCACACATCTGAGCACCCTACTCTCTAGCTCTTTTGTTGTGTTCAACACGGTCAGATACTTCGGGTTAAATTCAAGTTTTGATCATCAACATTTTTATAGACGTTTCTATATAAACCTGAGCCGCTTGTTTTTGTATAGTTGGCTTCATATACATATAATGTAATGCAATAATTTAATGGTTGGATGGATCTTCCAATAAAACCATTTTTATCTGCGAAAATGAAAATACTAAATGACTGGACCCGCATTGACTTATGTGGTCAGCTTTCTTGGGGTCAACTCTCAACGCACGCGGAAGGTCTCTGCCCCGATTATCCCTGTGCCCTCTCACTTTCGCTTAGCGACGAAAGGAAATAAAAACTCTCAAACTGTATCCGTTCCTATATTGCCACTCAACACGAACAGCGGTTTTTCCCAACTGCAGGTAAGAAGAGTGTTTCTTTTTCTCTGTGGCAAGAAGAGCGAAATGCAAAATGTTTCGTGCATTGAGTGAAATGATGCCTGCCGCTCGTTGAGTACGCACATTTTTACCACGCGGTAACGACAACCAATGACGCAAACGGCAAGGTTTTTCCCTCGTTCGTTACCAGCTATTGCGACCATTGAGGCGAGGTTACTACCCCCTGACAACATCCTAAATTCATTCTGGGTGCAGTGTGAACGTACGGCTGGCGCCAGCATGTGTGCCTCGTTCGAGAATGCTGACGTATTGCTGCTAATGGATTTCAGGGGACTTTCGTTATAATAAAATTTATACTGGATGTTTGGAGACAGCTTGCCCACTTATCTTTCTAGTTGTTTATCTGCCTATTCTTTATCGCGTATCGCAGTAAAATGGGCACTTCACATGAAGGCAATGGAAAACCTACGGTGTATTCGCTGAAAAACTGACTCTTGCGGAAATTGAAAACAAAGATATCATCGATATGATAACGACTGAGCATTGTTTTTCTGCATCATCGTTCCATACATAGGCAACACTCATCGGGCCTGAGTCAAGGCATATCATCTTTGCGGTGATGCAACACTCTAAAGGGGTAGGCACGCTATAACATTATAGGAACCAATAAGATAAACTGATGCCGGGAAGTGCAAATGCATAAAAAAAGTATGAAATTTTCTTTCTCGTTTATTCTTTCTGGCTACGCAGAAATTGGCAGCATTACATTTTCTACCTGCCGTTAACGAGATCGCCTTAGTACAAAACCGTAACCCAGGCGTCTTCCAGCAAACACTTCTTGATCTGTTGGGCAGGTGGAGCTGAAACAACACTGATTCAATTCGAATCCAAGAACGGAACTGAAACCTTTTGCATCCCTGAGCCATTCTGGGTTCCGACTTTCCTAAGCGTATTATACTAGTGATGGGTAATAACAGCATGTGTCAGTTATGCATAATTACATAGTAGTAATATATTGCACAGCACCGGATATAATGATAAGAGAGGTTTGCTTATGCCTGAACGATTCCTAGATTTCAACTATAAGAGGTCTTCAAAGGGATGAAGTCGCGTGCGTACCGGCAAAAATAAATATAAAAATAAAGAAAATTATTAAAAAAAAAATATATATATATATATATATATTAAAAAAATGACAAAAAAGATTAGCAAAAAGCTAATTTAAACCGCTGCAATCAATGATTAGCGCCTAATTGTTTTAGCGATATTAGTTTATGATAAGATGCAGTAATACCTAATTTGATCAATAAAACAGAGATGTCGTAGTTGGGACAGTTACTTTTTTTTTTTGATTACTAGTTACTACAGACTAATTAGATGAACAGAATGGCTTGGTTTAGGCTGTTGTATTCCTGCCATTGTCACAATGGAATTCTATTTTTCTTACGGATATTAAGTACTGCTTAATAAAAACGATTTTTTTTTTGGAATTTTAATAAATGAAAGAAGTACATTGGATATTTTTATCGATATTTTATTTTTACTCATCTCGTTTTTTATTTGGTTGGATATTTTTCATAGTAAGGATACGGAACATCAACATCTAATAACTCACAATAGGTACAATTTAATGGGTTATCGAATCCTTGATTGTAGATCACTTCGCCACAGAAAGATGCTCATTTATGGGTGTCAAAGACGATATCTCAGTGGCAATGACTATCTCATGGACATCACGCACGCATACAGACACGCTACATTAAAATCGCTAAGATGGTTTTGATATGCCATATATTACTAGTCCTCATGCATACACGTATACGAGTTTTTTTCTATTGTGTTTGCTAAATATACAATTAAATTGTACAAGCAACAATGGTCTTTAGGGACATTTCGTATGTTTGTGTGAATACGGCTTGCTTGAAAACAAAGTAGACCCAGATATGTAATTCAAGTCTTGTCTATTCATTTCCTAGGTACTTTTCAGCGTGGAAGGGCAATCGCACAGCATCCGCGGTGTGTTACACCTATCAACCTGACTGCTCGGATGGTATTTCCTGCGAAAAACCGACGAGGGACAGAAGACGCTATCATTCACTTATTTAATGCAAACGTTTATAAGCCATATTTGCGTGTTCCAAATCGCCGAGCCAGGTCGTACGAAGGGTACCTTTTGGAAAAATAGAGTATTGTAAGCTAAGGTAGGATATTAAATCGGCATACACTGACAAGACGAATTTTTTAGAATATATATATATATATATATAACACATGAGAGCTCGTCAGGTATGCCAAGGAGTGAAATTCGGAAGCTCGTCAGTTACCAATTCGCACATAACCATACAATACAATATGGTTATAGCGTTCAGAGTAGTTTGAAGTTTTTCCTGACTTATATTTAATAAAGTTCGATCGTAGCAATGCATAATTTCGAACGAAAAAATATCCTGTTTGAATTATTAGCGTTGTATCTAAACTAATAATCGATGGCGAGGCCGTTAGTTCGAAACAAGAGATTTCAAAAGAAACACGCAAATACACTTCTCTCTTTTTGGGTTCGAGTTGGCCTTCGGCCGATACTAAATAGGCCAAGGACGGACCCGACTATCCGGTGTCTGCATCTGCTATTTACACATCAGATAAATAAGTGCTTCGACGGGAAATACAAATTATTACGTATCTAATATGGAAATTTAGAAAATTATACGTATAGAGATTCAGTATATGATTAGACGTATTTTTAGTTTACCTATTATCAACTATATCGGTCGAATGATGGGTAAAGCGGTAGCAAGACTAGTAGTACCTGATTCAAATCTGGATATCCGCGAGACGGGTTTTGTAGATTTTTTTTGTAGAAGAACTTTGATGTATAAATATATCAATAAATAAATACATCAATGGAGATCGAAAAACTATTATCGACAACGCCGAAGCTGCATATGTAGGCTGATCTGCAACGAAACCGAACGCGTCTACTTTTCCAGTAGTGCTAAAAAAACTTCATAGTCAATTATATTAATGAATACAAAACTTCAAGGTCATGGTACGGTCAACACCCAGTAATAGGCGTTCGTTTAAATAAACAGGAACTAGTTGTAACATACATTTTCGAACACTACTCAATTTCGTTTTTAATCAATGGCACGTCATGGGTATCCTCGACAAGCCCCGATGATGCGTTGGAGACCTCGTCATTAAGAAACGAGTGAGTTGTTCGGTTGATTTGATTCCGGGTGAGCAACCACACGTTCATTGGCTCTTTCATGCCTTTCATAGGGATAGGACCCCGAAACCAAAAGGAGAACATTGGATCAGCATTAATGGGGTCCTGAAGAAGCCTATAAGCGAGAGAAAAAAATATTTATCGTTGTAATCACCATTACTTTTCAGTTCGCATTAAAATGATTTAAACCAAGGGCATTGCGGTTGCTCGAACGGTTTATTTCTTTCGTATTTAAGGGGCATTAAATAGTGTTATATGTCCTGCCGCCAATATAAAACGTTATACGTGACAGCTTCCATCAAACGTGAGTAAGCGTGAAAAATGCACATTACACTATCTCGTGTCCGAAAAAAAAAACCTATGCAAAATTAACTTCTTTGTAACTTACACAAGAAGGTGCAGCTAATCATTGATGCCGTTTATCGGATCCTGAGTACGAGTACAGGGAGCCGACCACCGTGATGCGACTACCTCACGGGCTGTACATTTCAGGTTGGTTTTATTCATTTCATTCAAGTACTGCACATAGAATGCAAATGTGGGGCCGTGGTCCATTAGTCAATGAGGCAGTAGATCGAGTGTGTGTCGAAATGTTTTTATGCTTCCTGCTATCTTCAGCCTGGCTATTCTGCGTTCCTCGCAAAATGATAATTTGGACAAATAGCACTCCTCGGAAATGAAATATTAGTACGGATGTCAACCTAACATGATGCCTGTTGTCATCTGAGGTAGACAGGAGACAGCAGCCCGACTAGCTTGGACGGCATCCTAATGGGTAGGCGCCATATGGAAGGGGCAGTGACGGTACTACTGCAGCGCCACTACTGGATACCAACGGTCATTAGCTTGATCAAGCAATCTGCTCAGACGCTACACACATTTGAGTATATACACTACATAGTTCAACGAATCTCTATCATGGTCAATGTAGTGCTCATATATGTCTTATTAACAATATTAGATACGGATCTTCAGTCGTAAAATTGCACTATATTATGTTGCTTCGGCCCACATGTACAATAGCTACACAATGAATCACGACGGAAAGTGGTTTGGGTCGTAAAGATGTAGTTTCAAAATTACTTAGTAGCCACAACATCTCGTTAGTAAGATCACCACGGTTCTTCCAATAATATACATACATTCATCTATTTCGATTGTTATCGCAGTGGAGACCTATTAACTGCTGAATGTTCTCTGCATCTCACTAAAAGCCAAAATCGGGATCAATGCTTCGGACGCCGTAGAAACTAATGATAAAACTCTGCTCTCGACTTGGACTATTCTAAATTGTAATACACTCTATTCATAGAGTTCTTTAGGGCATTACGGATGGAACCGCAATGTACGTACAAAGATATTGGTAACGCAATGTCATGCAAGCTATACATGACACAATATAATGCGGAATTAGTTCTTATCGTTCGTTGGCTGAGAGTTTGTCTTACTTACTTGTAAACACCTTCCGAGATATTAATTTGCCCCTTCTCGCCAGTAGTCTCAGTACGACTGGCTAAGTTGACACTGTGTCCGAACAGACAGTAGCGTGGCATCTTTTTCCCGATAACGCCGGCGACAACTTCACCACAATGGATTCCCATGGTTATTTGCTTCAAGGAAAATACAAATAGAAATTTTTTTTGTTCTCAAATATGGTTGCAAATGTAGATGTTTACATGTGCTTCTTCAATGTTTAGAGCTAACCTCAATTTTCAATCACTAACAACGTTAGGTCTATCTGTTTGGTATTAATTCACAGGATCGATCAGATACGCAACCGAACTTATATATGTACATTTTGGCGTGGGTTAATCAATCTTGAGGTTCATTCCTATCACTCCCACGGCACCTAACAAACCGCTATGACCAGCAATACAACGCGCTTAAACCTTCAAGAGCCGAAGAATTTTAACTTCAAGTTTTCTAAGTATTGAAATAGTTTCGCAACTTTACCTAATTTAAAATTCAGTCCTATGCGTGTATTAGGCTACAGGCCACGGCCAATGTGCTCATTAAATGACAACCCACTAGAATTCCCCTAAACGTGAGTCTCTAAAAAGAAATCATACTCCTACTTAGTATGTATATAAGCAGCTTCTTATTGGCAATCGGGTAAACAGACCCGCCTTATCTGCAAGATGGGAGGGACCTCCTGTAGTCGCTAACAGTTGCCCAGGGCTGCGTGCATCCACTTTGCTCGGTAAAAGGTGAGAGGAGGGAATCAACAAATTTCTCTAATTTAGCTACCGTCCCAGCCGCTCAGGGGTCTCATACAATATTTATGGACCTCCGTGCGTTTGTGGCGGATGGGCCATGCACGATCGATTCCCCCACGGCCGTATAACTTGCGATGGTCATGGGGTGCCATAGAAAACATTCTGGCATCCGTTTCGAGTTGTATGGTCATCATCTATATTACGGCCACCCCACTAGAGGACTGCCACCCTCGGCACTCGAATAAGCTCAGGAGAGTTCCGAGTTTCATTTCTCGTTCTCGTCTTTTCCCTGTACGATCTCGCTCGTTCCGTAGGCCGCTCTAACTCTTTCTGCTTCTAGCCTGACGTTCATTCTTATGGCGAAACGCACGAAATAGCGTCCTCCATATAACAACTAGCGTTCGACATCTCAATGTCCGAAACTAATGACGCTGCCAGCATAGGCTGCTCATTTGACGCAGTAACAGCGAAAAACAAGAAGACTGACAAAATGGTGATGAAGACGAAGAGTGAGATCGCAACTCAGCGAACTGGCTTGGGTGAACGTCATAAATTGTTCTTGACAAGCAGCACTTGCTCTAGCTTTCCCGGAAAGGAGGTCGGGGGTTGTAGAAGTATGCTGGGTCAGGTTGTGGGGTGGCAATGGGCCTGCAAAATGGAAGAATGCCCACAGGTCTTCCTTAAGAGGAACCGTAGAGGAGCACCGATCGCAGAAATAGCGGCCAAGAATAGAAAACGAAGGAGTACTTTTCATATTGGTAAAAAAGAAGCACAACGAAGGACATTTTTACGCTCTCTTTTTCCGTCTTTCAAGAAAAGGATAATCTGAAAGGGGAGTGCGTATAAACAGGTCAGTATACGAAATACCGACAACGGTGGCGGCTGGTTGGCTAGCGACATTTGGCAAGCGAGGCGATGACGACGAATCCTATCGAGAGTAGCGTTTTGCTGAGGCGCGCACAGTCAGCCAATAAAGACGAAGCTTGAAAAAGGTTTCGATGAGAAAAGGGGGAGAAAAATTGAATGGATCTATAGTGAATCTCAGCGATAGCAACAAGCCACTCAAGGCGACCAAATTGATATAGGGTTCGCTTTAGATATTGCTTCATCCTGAAAGAGTCGTGCACGAAAAAAGAAGTTATGAATCTCGATAGTATGAATAACCCATGGTTCGGTCCTTGTTTGTCAACAAAAAAAAAGCACAGATCAACATTACTATTAAAACTGCTGTTTATGTCAACTAGGGTGACTTGCAAGATAAAAGTCCAATTGCAAAACACACAAAAAGCATAGGATGTCCTTAAATTTTTGATATCACTGTTAAAACACTGCGTTTGAAACATAGGAAAAGAAAAGGCTTATACTTTATTTTATAATATTAATACAGTACCAGCGAAATATCATAATTCATTTTCATACTTATTTCTATCGATGCTAAATTGACACCGTACTAAAAAGGGCGAATGAGAACGAGTAGAAGCGTTGACTCGTTGCAAACAAGTTCTGATACTGTTACACGATAAAAACTGACGCTAGAAAGATGGCACCATCTGTCACGTAATTTTTGGGCCGCTGTATTGTACAGCTGACAAAAAAAAAAAATGGTAATTTTCTAACTAACCTATGCCAATAAAGAGGGCGATTATTAGTGAGTGTACTTACGACGCATTGCTCTGAGTCAATTGTGATTTTGTGAGAAAGATCTTGAAGATCGAGAGCTAGCTGGGCGATACGCTTTGCATGACATTCGCACGGGTCAGGTAATCCCGATACAGCCATATACTTATCGCCGATAGTTTCCACCTAAAATCGTAACGGTCGAGCAAGCATACTAACACAATGTTAAATCGTTTTGTGATACCGCGAGAACAGTACGAAGGCAAGCCTAAATCTGCATTTCTAAACCTCGCAGATCGCTGAGTGAAGATGATATTATCTTTGGAAAGTAAACTCCTCGAAACTTACTTGCTATTCAATGAAGTGCCAAATCTATCGGTAGATAACTTCATCACGTTAAACAAGGCCCATACAATTGTGTCTGCATCTTGTCCTACTAGAGAACGATGAGGATGTTCGAAAATACGTCTATCCATGCATCCGTTCATTTTAGGCCTACGTCACGGTTAAGCAACACCATCGTCAATTTTCAAATCGTATCATGAAATGCGAAGCAATAGGAGGGATTTTGTCCGATCCATTGTTGTCAGATAGCGGTTCAGAGCGTTTATAATTTATCCAGTCGTGTGATCGTGGGAAGTGGTCGGCTGACCCGCGCAGGAACTGTGCCCGTCGAACAATTCTAAGAAATCGCTTTCTCACTGTGACGTTCGTTTGGGTTTTGGTCAATGGCAAATGGGGGGCGTCAATCAGTTCTCGGAATCGATTACATAATCTATCGAGAATTGTAAACGGTGTAACGGCCTACCAAAATGGCACCCGGGTTATACTACAGGCGTTTCATTAAAGCCCGTTCTGAGAACCGTTTAACTCTGAGGCTTCCATTCCTTATGGACGCAGCTACGGGATATACTTCAGCATACACAAGCACTCGATTTACAGGTTAGGTTAAACCGCATGGTTTGTTTAATTTAAGTGATACTGATAGAAATGTACCCTTGATACGTCTAGCGTGCAACTTACGCATGCTATAAATATATGACGCAAATTTAGAATGAATTAGAAAATTCGTTTGAAGTTCTCGACGCAGCTAAATGTCGAAATATGAGGTGACTAGTCTAGACACAAGGAAGTGACACCGACTATATATTTGGTTACCTTATATACGTCTGGGTTCGTACGTGGATCGGTGAGTATGTCAAAGCTGGTGTAGATATCGTTGAGAAGCTTGACAATCTTCATAGCGCCATGTGAATCTGAATGGCGTTGGCAGTAATCGATAAAACCTACCACACCACTGAATAAAATTGTAACTTGGTCATACTTCTTAGCCGGAACTGGCCGATTGTGTCGGAGTTCGTTGGCCACAGACGGTGGAAGAATTGAATATAGCACTCTGAGGAAAGAGCAAAATGACGCAGAAAAAAATAGTCAATAAGTCATTTTTATCAATGAATTTTTTGCTTCATTTTAATTAGTTAGCTAGGACTACGAGCTGTTTGAAGAGACCTTAGCCAGTCTTATCGCTCCCTGGCCGTCAGGAGTTCCTTCGCAACTTTGCTACCTTTATGCCGATTTGCTCGAACACCCACAAATGTCACGTGAACCTCCCTTAGTCCACCTGTGAGCTCTTTGACAAGTCTAGAGTCATACAATCGTGCCTTACCTGTCGGTTTTTTTCTTCTCAGTCTCAAGATCGCTGTAGGTCCGTTGCAGTTTCTCAGTGAGTACTTCGAGGCTTTTGGTGAGCTTGTATTCCGCTTCAAATTGCTCCGAGAGCAGAACGAGGTCCCGTGTGGCGTCGTGCAGGGGGATGTCACTTAGATAGAGGCCCTTACAATTAAGGTCGTCCAAATTGAACACCGAGGGCGAGCATAAAAATAGAATCAAATCATCCTCACCCGTCGGGGACATTTGACCCTTCAAGATCATCCTGCAGAACGGAAAATATAAAATCTTAGTTTGTGCTTCCGTCTACAGCCTCATGTGAAGATTAAAGAAACGAAGTTGACTCATCACAACGTGACTCTGCATAGTCGGTGCTATAAACTGACCATGTGGAATCACGTCACGAATACAGAGAAACATTTTAATGTTAGAAGGTTAACAATCTGAGACAATGTAAACAAATCATAAAAGCCTGAATTGATAACTGACGATTTACCTGGAGGCAAATCTTGTAGAATCAGGTCCCTTTATGCGCAAAACGAAGACGGTGTTCGTATGTTCAAGTATGTTAGCGCGCGTGAGGGGCATATGGGGCTGAACAAGTTCCATAAAGTTGCTCAGCGAATCTTGCAGCATATTCGGTAGAATTCGAGTGATTGATGTACCTGTGGCGTCAGTAGGACGACTTAATCAATGATACCTGTTCGTAACTTAGAAATAGATGTATAACCTAAAAAAAGCGCTAGGTTAATTTATAACGAACCTTCTTAGCGCACAGCAAGCAGTCTAAAAAGGCTTGCCACTTACAATATGCATTTAGCGTTATTCCGAAAAAAAAAGATAACATACGTCTCGTGTTTAAGTTTGTACTTTAAGAGATTCTTGCTAACTGAACCTGCCTATAAGGTCGTAGTTACATTTATGGGAATACTGCGGTTTTATTATGGGAGCCGTTTGCAGAACTACAGAGATCGCTGACCCTCAAGCCACCTAAATGTGCCTAAAAACGAGCAAGGCAGAAGTTCAATTAACTTTAATAAGTTTAGAACTTTACTGATCACGCTCCCTACTACGATAAAGGAAAACAGTTGATTTATTTATGCTGACTCTACCGTACCAAGCGGTCAGCGATATTCCATCAAAACGTTTCATTTGAACTGAGCATGCTTTAAGCAAGTGAGCTGGTACTTCGAAAAGGTTGCATACTATAGCATTATGTGCTTAATTATTATCTTACGATTATCACGCTGTAGCAGCTGAGGGCTTTTTTAAATTGTGAAGTTTGCCTAAATGATTATATTGCATTTAATAAGGACGACCTGTCGCCTTATGTGTGGCCTATTTATGCGTTTGCCGACGTGTAGTACCAGTCAAGCCATCTAGTACCAAACAGAGAATGTTTCCACCGCTAATAAAAAGGACTCTTACCCGCTTGGACAACAATTAAGTCCTTATCAAAAATGACGTGAAAGGGAAAAGCGCGGCAAAACGTTGCAGGAGATATCCTTTTCTCTTCAGGCAGAGTATAGAACTCTTTGTCATCGTTCTGTCTAGTAGCTGGCTGTTGTCGATTGATGCGTAACCGAGTGTGTTCTCCTTCTTTTCCGAAATCTCCTGTCGAAACCACCTCGATTGAAATCGTTTCTTTAAACTGACGTGATGCAATGGCCTACATAAGATATAGTAAAGAACATTTCTGAGATCAACCGTTGGCCATACAGAAGGAACAACATAATTGAAAGAAATATTACAGAAAACTATCTAATTAGGGCATTAATGCTACCCAAGCATCTTCTAAACGCGCCTAATATTAAGTCATTCCGTTCTCGCTGAAGATTCTCACTCGGTGTTTCGGTGACAGACCTTTTACAGTTAATTGCATGTTTTCTGCTGAAGGTAGGACCTTGAATTATATCACATAATCTTGCTCGTACTTCGACGCAACGAAATGCTAGATCACTATATGAGCAATCAAGTGCAAGGATAATAATGAATATAATACGCAGCGCTCGTGACTCGATGGTTCTGGTTGGTCCTTCACTAGTGATAAAGACACGAACACCTTAATGTTGGCCTGCTCCGTTACAAAAGAGACAGATAAATTCAGTTGGTCATGCAAGGCAAGCTCGAAATCAGAAATCGCTTCGGAAAAAGCATCTTCTTGCTTGCTAGTAAACCTATAAGTTATATTAAGCTAAAAAAGATTAAACCTATAATTTACTGCAATGTAATCCTATAGTATTCGTTAACACACTAGAGACAGGAATATATTTTACGTCGGTCGACCAGTATCAAACTATAACTGGCATTGAGCCAGAATATACTCAACTAATGTTATATTAACTAATTTAGCAGGGGTAAGTTTTACAAGAGTCTTTACATCGTTGGTGTATCACTTTATTTCTATCAACTGATTTTGATATATCTCATAGTTCCTGGATAATACGCTGTCATTGATTACTGACCCTGCTCTTGATTTTTCCGAAACGTCGACACAAGGAAAACGAAGGTCGTAAATCGGTCTACGATAATCGCCTACATCTAAATAAGGTCAAGTAGTCAACGAAGCACTGCGTCAATCTGACCTCTATGATATAATAAACACAAGTCGTGAGAAGAAAAAAGGTACGTTGGGTATTACGATTCAGCCTTCTCCTTTAGGTTGTAACAGAGATTATTTGTGTATATAAGATATTAAATAAAGGGTAATCGTGGACTGACGAAAGAAAACGATAAAGAAAGCCAACAACATCGCTTCGGTGCTTTAAAGCTAACAATGGAGAGCTGAATCATGATGAAGCATGAAGCATGCCTCGCCGCGTATGGCAAACAGTAGCCTAGTATTTCTTAGAAGATAAAAAAAGAAAACCCAGATCCTGATTACTATTTTAAAGACAAAGAAGAAAGGAGATCTCTGTATCAGAAACAATTGAAAACACTTAACTAATAGCTTTTAAATCTTGTGTTTTTTCAGAGACAAAGAAGCCTATTTTTTGCTAACATTTATTTATGTATATTGGTGGGCCAACTCGCAATGATAAAGCGAAGCATACAACAAAGGAAGAGTACGGCGGTCGTGTTAAGGACTGTTCATTGTGGTTTCCATAACGCGTTATAATGAATCACGCGCGCTACAACTTTTTACTTAGTACAGTCTTCGAACTGCTACGCATGCACTTGCGCTTATTAACTGGCCAATGACTGGTCCCGCAGTTTAAGGCTGACTCTTCTTCAGTTTTTGTCCGCTCGTCAACCAGCCTGTAGTAACTTTTCAAAATCACGAGGAACGGTTGTACAGGATCTCAGCGCAGCTTTCTACAGGAATCTATTCGCGTCGACGATCACGTTCCGCATTTACATAATCATTAAGTACAGATAATAGTCTCTGTAAGCAATATCTAAAATTCTTACATAATGTGAAACAACAATTTTCAAAACAATTAAAGGTACGCAGCGCATCTGTCGTGACCTCAATATGGATTTTTTTGTTACCACCTAAGAAGGTATCTAGTACATACTGTTTGATATGGGTATCACCGGCTCTCAATACCCATTCGAGGCCTCTGCGAATTTTCGCTGGTACTTGATCGCGTCACTTGAAGTTATCGCGGTTAGCTTTCGAATTGCCATCCATATTGTTACTACAGCATACCGATACGTTATCTAAATTAAACCCGTACGAAGAAAACTAAAAGCTACACCTCTAGGTGACAAAAGGCAAATTGTCTATATGGGATTTTTCGTAGCTATGTCGCGAGAAGTATCTCACACGAAGGGCATAACGATCATCAAATCGGAAAAACTAAATACACAAAGAAATCCCCAAGGAACGTTTCCATGTATGAGGTTATACTGTAGCTAGAACATGAGCTGTCTGACAATGTTTGAAATCTATTGAACAATAGTATTGTTCAATTGCCCTCTACAAAAAGAGTTTTGAAATTTGCTGATCTGAATAATATCCGTACGTATTGCGGGAAAAATACCGAATTCTTAACGAGGAGGGTTTGTTTACAAATGATCGATTGACGCTTTCGGCTTAGTGCCAAAGCTCTCATGAACTGCTGGGAAGATCCGGTACTACAAAAGTCAAAACAACATCTGTGAATCTGTTTCGTGAGACGCTAGCACTGCAGTAGATGAAGCAACTCACTTCACTACATCAGGCAAGGAAGAATAACAGAAATATATTAAATGTGTACCTTAACGGCGCCAACGACCATTTCGTTGAGACCTCTTCGATGCGAGTAATAGTGTAGTACGAACGCAGGTTCGCCCTCTATTCGCTCACACGTGAAGCTCGGCGTCCTCATGCCGGGATAAAATGTCAGTAAATGGTTATGCAACGAGTCGACTGCCTGCAGAAATGTCTCCAGATCAGAACCCAAAACCTGCAAAATCTGGCCATAGCCGGCATGCGTCTGGCAGTATTCGAAGAAGTACTCGCCAAAGTGCTCCATCAAAACGGGTTCCGCCACATCTGCAAACCAATTTTAGACCATGAGAAAAAGCATAAGACGACCTGTAGCTCTGTCTCTCTAGTTTTTATTAAAATTACTCCGGTGAACCTTGGATTCCCGCCCGAGACGGAAGCGTTTTGTTGATGTATGTGATGAACCTAAACGTGGCCACAGATAAATATTGTGTTTAATTCATTGGATGGATTGCGAGCTGGAACAAACATTTATTTAGGGAATGGTATATTTAAGCGAACCAGCAGTGTTCCAATTTGCAATAGTGCGGGGTAAGACAAAATGATGTCGGAGAGGCATGACAATGAAAGATCAAGAGTTGCAAGCGTCATTATAATGATTTCAAATAGTAACATATCACCCTATGGTATAAATAAATAATTATTTATCGACTTGAATATCGTCGGTATTTTTGTCTGTCTCTTGTCAAGTGTTGACTAGAGATAATAAACGGCTTACTAGAACCTGTTTAAGTAGTTCTCAATATGCCAAGCTCAAAAATCAGCTACACTTGAGTTCCTACACGCGCACAGACATAAGGTCGGCCTTTGCTCTTCGTTTTGGAACTAATCCGCGGCTCTAACGAATTGAGTAGCGTCGTGATAGTAATAGCATGATCGAAACAAAATACGGCTAGTAGCTCAGAAGAACACTTCAAATGTGGCAGGTTCATCGATTATACTGTACCCACCCACGATTCGTGCCGTTGTAGCAAGCATTTCGAAGAGAACATTGTCATCGTAGACGATTCGAGATACTAGTTCATCCTCCGACAAGTTGCTCTCCTTTCTTGCTCGTTGTAGGGGCAAGCGTAGCGGAACAAAGCAAGACCATCGACAACAGCAACAACGAAAACATTGCGATACAAGATATTATTATTAGAATATACAAGCCTACAGCAACTTTTTTTTTTGTTTTCATAAAACACATATAACGTACGTAATCGTTATAATTGCCACCTGTAATCGCAATTCGAAGACGTCACGGAAATACCTGGGTGAACAACCCCTCTGTGGTAAACATCAACTTGCGATAGTACTGTGGGGCCACTCACTTTATTGTTGTCCACGTATCCGAACCGTACTCCTTATCAATAAGCAACTCGAGCGCTCGCGCCACGAAGCCGTACTGCAAGCGACACGCATTTTATATATTGCATAGAATATTAGATTAGCATTGTCCTATCTGTGCACGCTGACAGCGGGTTTACATGTCGTAGACTCGGACGTAGCCATCAATTCAAATTTAGCCATAGCTTTCTTTATAATTCAGTGAACATGCTGTACAGTCACCTCACCATAGTTCCTACAACGACGTAGGAGCCCGTTATCTGGAATTACTGCGTGCACTATTGCGATCCTATAAGCATCGATGACACGTTGAACAGCAAGTTCAGAAATTATAATAGGCCTTTTTTGTTAACAGGAATTCTTTTACTCTTTAGAATTCAGCTTACTAAACATTTGTGGCAGTCTGATCGAATATAACCCCTTCTATAGCTCCCGTTCAGGATGCCGAAATGGATTAAAAGGAGACACCATGTTTGTTGGGATGGACGCTACTTCTTGCATCCACAGAGGGCGCCACCATCGACTGCACTTCGCTCAGGTTAAAATGTCCTTGAATTTCAAGGGCACTACCTTGAGACCTTCTCCCATAGACTAATATTTTCCTGGGAGATAGGGTATTATGCCATCGCGCGGCAACTGTATATTCGAACTATATATTAAAACTAATTATCTAACATAAAGGACTGAGTTTATTCGCTAAGTCAGTAAATGTTTACGCTTTCTTGACCCTTTTACGCTTCCTTCAACAATACTCCGGCACATACCCATTTTTTCACTGTTGCTGTTCAGCCGAAAGAAGCCCAGCTTTTCACACTTCGAGATACATAAACAACTTGTCTTCCAGCGCGCCAATTAGTTAGTCTATGTGTAGCGAGCGAGACTGACTCCAGTGAGTTCTACGCTGCGCCTTAAATACCCAAAATCATTTTTAATAAGATCGAGTATTTAAGTCAATGCGTTTCATTCGGCCAACGGTACTTAGCCATGGTCAGTGTCCAGCGTGTTCTTACGCCTCGCGCACCTCGGAGAAAATTAAACGAACTGTATCAGCTGATGCTGTGGCCGATTCTATTTAATTGGCCGCCCGGGAGTGACTGCGGTAACCCCCTCGATTGGTTGGCAATCCTCGTCTCAGACGACTCCCGTCAATTAGACACAGATTGATTAGGCACCTTCGAAGATTATGACTCAGACAGCTTTTGGCCTACAGAATCCATGCTCGTTGTGTAGTGGTTGATAACTGGCCCCCTAGGGATTCCATGCAACCTATCTTCATTGCCGCACGTAATTCGCAGGCAAATATTGCTAAGGTATTCCCGAGCCCAAAGCTAAGTTTCTCCACCTGTAAAAGCGCCTTTCCAGCTCTTAAATGGCCAGATCATGCTGATACAACAAAGTACTTCTACGTGGTCAACACCGACGCAGTCTCCGGCAATCGTTTTAGAGCGCACTGTGCTCTAAGTTACGCTAGACTATTTTGCGATACCTGCCTCATCTGATGTGAAACCTCTAACAGGTCGAATCTTGTTAACAAGTAGTCCCAAACTTAACAATTCATTATACGATTTCGCAAAACCGATAGACTTGACCGGTTTTTCGTGTGTTTAGTGTGTACACTTCGAAGCGAGCCTTACGCCCACTTGCACACAAAAATGCTTGCTTGGCCTACATGAGGTTTACGAGTGCTTTTTTTGTCGGGCAACCAACTTTTTTTCGGAAAGCTGTTTTCACGTTTGTCTTTGTCTTTGTCACGTCTTGATTTCTACTGTCTCGAGATCGCACCATGCCAGCACGGATCGATGAGGTATCTTCGCGTTTCCACATTTCTCGATCCTCAGATTATAGGTCTTTAGATTCTTGATCCGCTGTCGGTTTGCCGCTGCCAAACCCAAGGCACCAGTCGTCTCGCGGTGGGCCATTTCTCTCAAGCAGCGTGTCATTTCGTCCATTCCACGACGCGGCCAGATAGTAGCAACGGGGCCTTTGATAGTTCCGTTGTTGGGTAGGTAAGTTTTCTGCTACGCCCAAATATAAAAAAATTAAACATCTAGTAGGCAAAATAATTGCCGCTTTGAGCTACTTTTGTTTAAAGCATGGCGAAAAACCTGTATCTCAACCACCTATACAATAGCGTAAACATTCCCGAAAGATAGCTTCTTATAACTCAAAGAAGCGTTCATATCTGCACGAGTACCTTAATGGCATTTAGTGGAAACACAGAAGCTAAATCCTGTAGTATGCTACAGTAATTTCAAGATCATTTTCAGAAAATCCCTGCAACTACTTCAAAAATCGTGCTAAGCATGGATGACGAGTTTTTTAGGATCGGTTTATATAGTGGATTTAATTACAACAGTACTGCCAAGAAATAGGAAGCTAAGCTGTGACGAAAGTAAATCTCTAATTGAGGGTTAACAAACTTTCTGCACAAACTGAAATAAGTTGATTTTGGGTCATTCAATTTATAGTAGGAAATTCATTATGGGCTGCCGGAACTTGCAGAGGCTCGAATAACGACCGCTGATTAATCCGTAATTTCCCTTACCATTTACGACAATATAGAATACTCAGTTTTATTCTTATAAGACACACTGATACGGTCCTGTAGGTTATAATTAGCATCATTATTAATACTGTTATTTAGAACCTGCCAATTTTCCCTAGCGAATTAGGATAGGTTGTTGTCGGAAATGTATTGACCTTTTTGAGTTGAAATTGAAAAAAATTCATTTTTAGATTTTCAAATAATATTACTTAATTAATTGTGCACCATTTCGATCGATGATCTTCTACAGCTTTTCCTGTAACATGCTTACCGGGTTCTCTGTCACTAGGGCACCTCTGTACTTTCTGGGAGAGTGATTTTTGCATCCCTCCTTTGAAACTGGATTGACACCATTTAGAAAAATATGCAGAGACCAAGGGAAGTGATAGCTTTGATTTGGATACTGTGGATGTCAAAGGTCTTTCCATTTTCGCCGAACAGCTAAGGATGTACCTGCTGTCCACGGTGGATAACAACGCCTTTCCTGCGTACTAATTCTGGTAGGTTTTTTTTTTAATGATGAGCTATAATCTGTTGGATTACAACTCATCATTAAAGTCTTCTTCTTTCAGGTTGCAGCAGCTCGCAATACACTATTCCTTTCCAATACCGTCAAACACGTATCATCACCGTCGTTGACGTCAGTCCGCGCTTTTATTACAGATTGTGCAACACCGTTTTATTTATCTATTTCCAGTTGCATCTTACTGTTGTATGTTATCGACTTTTCTATTCATACAATAGCTTGACTTCGTCTCGTTTTTACAGAGCTTTGTAGATACTGACTGGCCGAACAAGTAAGTACATTTCCGTCGATCCGTATGGCACCAGACCTCAGCCTTTCTAGCCAGCTTTCTTCAAATCATTAAAAATGTTTGGTAATGGATATTCCTTACTATTTTTTTTTCATCAACTTTTTCCGACCTTGACGAAAAAACTTTTTTATACCGAAATTTTCAAAACGAAAACGATGGAGCCATCTTCGCTGACCTAATTCGGCCTTAAACACACACAATTTTTAAAAACCTGGAGAATATTTACGTCTTTATCGCAACGAAATTATAAAAGGTAGCGAATTTAAACTGTCACCCCCCGTCCCCCATACTACCTGGGATGTGCAGCCTTAAAGCCATCCAACTAGAAAGACGCTCAATATTGTTGCGACAAACCAATATATACACGGTATCTTAAAAGTGTTTACACTATTTAACGAGGTTTAATTTTCTGATCGTTTCTTTTCCAGGCGTAATCAATAGGAGGTAATGGGTGATCTGAAATATACAATTGAAGCGCCTTGTCTTGAAGCACGAAAGTATTATTTTAGGCACGCATGGGTCACCAGAAAACACATAAAACGACACTTTGTGAAGCTCCAGAGTGATGTGTTGATGACCTCGGGGTGATTCGTCCCGTGCAATCGTGGTCATACGCTTACCATTGAATAAAAGATTCAGCCACCAGAAACCATTTACTGTTACACGCGTCGTTAAGACAATGGCAACAGCGGGTTTGTGCCTGGAGCTAATGACAGCCGTTGCGAGCTTGACACTCCTATCTGCTTGATTACTTGATTGATTGATGAAAAAAAAAGTACCAGGTCTAAAAGGTATTGTAATTAATTCATTCACTCAGTGACCGTATATTAATCTGTTCATTTATTCTCTTGAAATGTATTTTTTCTGTATTTTCGCTATATATGTTGACGTGTTGTAAGCTCTAATAGTAATTATGCTGCGTGAGCACGTGTTCGTCCCATGTCATCTTTGCTCTTTGGGTTTTCTCAAACCGGAATGTTTACAACGCTTGACTGTTTGGCCGATAGCGCCTGCGTGTACGTGATTTGTCTTAGTAATTATAGGTTCTCCCACCAATAGGATGGCTTCAGCCACATTGAAACCATGCAATAATGGCTCGAAAATTGTGTCGGTTGGTAGATGGAAAAAACTATTATCTTCTTGTGCGAATTCTATCAAGTTCGCCGCTAAGTTTACATAACCTCGTTATTGGCCTTTCTCTATATATATATATATATATATATGAAGCTGATACTGCGGGTTTTCATTCGCCTTTTCCATACTACTACTACTACCAGGGAAAACCCAGATAATGAATGCTGTTTATTATCAATTGTTCGTAATAAATCGCTCAGTGAAGCTTATACAAGCTTCAACCCTAATACGATTGCTACTTTAATCGATAGACGTAATAATAGTTTAGTCATCTACTTTTACTATATTCTGTTTTTTTCTCTTGTTGCTATGATTAGTCGAGTTAATGTTAATGGTGTTAAAGACATTATTTCTGTCTCAATAGCACTACTAATATCGTATTGATAGAACAATTGGCTAAAATAAATGGCGATACGTTCAATGCTACGTTCTCTCACCGCCGGCTCACCATCGTTATTACCACAACTGCCATGGTGTTCAACGCATCCATATCAATCATAGCTACAAACGGGTGATGGCCGGAAGGACAGCGTTATCGTTTGTCCACCGGCTGCTACAAATTCGCCGGAAAACATTGACTTTTACCCACCTTCAACTACCGTGTTCATGAAGGATTTTTTTTTCAGTTTTTCTCTAATATTCATCGTCCAGCTTTCCTGTCTTTTCTTGATAATGTACTACTGATGACCAGAAATAGCTACTGCCGTATTACGAATAGCAATAATAGTTACGCCTATAGACCATTGTCTATTTCCTACGTAAACTCATGTCATCATGTAATTCTTAGCCAACGAAATCATCATCAACAACAATTAACTCAACAACAACGGGTTCGTATACTATCTATTTTTCTGCTTGATGCGTGTAATTATTGCTAGCCGTTGTCATAATGGTGATGTGCTGTCGCTCGATGTCCACAGCAAATCCTTAGTTCGGCTACCGGAGTTACTGTATCTATCTATCTATTTATGTATTAACTGTGTTTTATTGACACATGTTATATACAACATAAGTACAAAAATCGTCTATGGCTTGCTAAGATCATCGAGTAGGTAATCCGTAGTTGCCTGCTAGTGCCGGGGTCAATTCTGAGTATCCTTAGTGCTTTTTGGAAGCACAAACTAAAACGGACCCAATTAGTGCTTACGAGGAGAACGAGACTGTTGTGAAGGAATCGGACTTTTCCGATCCGATCATCAAGACTCGTTGTGATAAAAAAAAAAAAAAAAAAAAAACTTCTGTCGCTGGTAAACCATCGTATCAATACTTTCAGTGAACGTACCCATCTTTTGTCTGTCGCTGATTATGCACGCACACAGGACGAACGTTGCAACCGTATATACGAGTTGATTTGATAGAATCTGATTGATTGGCGTCCTTTTTCTCCTTGGCGTAAGGATTTCTCGTGGTCAGCTCTAGTAGAAGCAGCTTTCTCTTTGGACTTGTTCATCATAATAGCTACCACGGTGCGTCTTACATGTGTATCAATTTAGATGTTATTTTATTCATAAACACTGTGTTTATGAGCATGTAAGTGTACTCGAACCAGCCGCTCCCCGAAGCTGATTCATATATATTTAGGATCTACCTTCATGCCTTGTTAGAAGCTAGATGCTAAGTTTAAGGATCTTTTATCTTCTTTATCTCTATTAGCGACATGTTGCTGCATTAATATTTTCTGTAGTACGGCTAACTGTCAGTTCAGTGTGTTGTATTTTTTCTGCGATTATTTTAAGCATTGGAAAACGATCATATATTAGATAGCATTTAAAAGGCAGCAACATAGATGAATGGACTAACTGGAACATCATAGTTATAATTGCCGCTGCGATAACAAACTGAACCCTTTCAGTATTTTGACAGCCTTGCTTATCTTAGTTTCAGGAAAGCTAACGTGCATGAACTTACTAAATTCGTCAACTGTGTACAATATTGTATGTACCGTGTAAATAAGCAGATCGTATACTGCTCATATCGCAGTGTAGGGTTTTTTAACCACGTAAATTTCCGGTTAGGTTGATAGAGAGGCTAAGGAACTTAGCCGCTGTGCACGAGGCAACCTTCCTCCTCGAGGCGGAGAAGGAATCTGTTCACGCGCTCTTTCGGGCCAATTTGCCTAGCTCGATCGATGAAACTTAGCAGTTTCTTAATACCGATATAGATACGCATGCCTTGCACGCCTTTGGCAAGCCGATGTATATCGTCTTGGCCAAAGCAATTCGACTGCTCTAGTACAGACAGGAACTGGTCCGGTCGGTTAATAGCAGGAACACGAAGGACAGTAGAGAACAGAGAAAGCATGCCGATCTCTCCCAAAAAGTCTTTGCAGGAGGTCGTACACAGGATAAGTAGACGTCGACCTTTCGGAGGGTCTTGCTTTAGCAGAATCAGTAGTGTCTGCAATACCATGTTTGAGTAACGTGGCCCCACAGGACAATAATCTGAAAGTAAGACGCGCAAACGTTAACAGAAGCATTTATTTGAGAGACAATAAGCGCCAAGTGATTGCGACCCGCCGATATGATAGTTGTAAACGAAAGATCTTACCAAGTAGACGTTCAATATCATCGACCAGAACGCAGCTTTGAACTGATTTGTAAGCATCATCGAAGATCTTCTTGATGATTTGACACTTTGCTGACTCCGAATATCCCACCATCTGTTGCGGTGAACACAACTTGACGAATGGGAATCCCGAGTTGAGCGCGATCTTGGCTGCCAAAGCTGTCTTGCCGGCATTGGGTGGTCCCTCCAGTAGCACCGTGACAAGGCCGCGACCCTCTGACGCCTTACACTGATCAATAGACAAATCGCCTTCTCCCAGCAGTTGCTGTCATATAAAGGAAAACAAATATAAATTGTGATATTACTATGAAACCACAACAAACGAATCGTATATTCCTAATCAACACATACATTATTCATGACTTCTGTTATAATTCACGCTTACATTAACTGGATCCCCCCAGACGAAAATATTGGACCCAACGAGGGTTTCGATCTCCTCGACAGCAGTTCCAAACGCTGGCTTAATATCGTTCTCTAGCGCAGTCATAAAATCTTGCCGGCAGATCTTGAGTTTGTTGAGAGCGTCAGGGTCCACCTCGACTTTGCTGCCAGCCTTAATGAGGCGGTTCATTGCCATTGATTGAGCCGCACGAACTAGACCCTCAAGTTCAGCGCCTGAGAAATTCTTTGTGAGCGCCGCGAGCTCTACGAGATCTACATCATCGTCCAGTTTACCGTGAGTTTTCATACGCGACGTGTGGATGTTGAGGATTTGCGTTCGGCCGTGTTCATCCGGAAGGCCAATCTCCATTTGCACTTCCAATCGGCCTGGTCGAAGCAGAGCTTCATCGATCATATCGCGCCTATAGGGAACAGCGAGTAACACAGCAAATATTAATTGTTTTACTCAAGTTAATCATGTCACTACTACTACTGATGAATAATATTATAGTACTTGATATATAATGAGATATTAGATATTATTTAAATAAATGTTATCATCGTTCGCGCCTAAATTCATCTAAATGAAGGCTGTTTATTCTACTCGGCGTTTATTAAGCCTAAAACCTATGAATCTAAAGACGTCTCTGTTATCTAGAACACGAGATGCCCTCTTAATCAGAGGACAGTATTGAGTACTAGAAGTTAGCTATAAAATGGCATCCTAGACTCAACGGGAGCTACACAGTTCCATAGATCAACATTTCTATAGATTATAAACTTCAGTCGAGGTTTCACAGCTGCTGGAAAACATCCTCGATTTACCAAATCACATATTCGTGCAAAACAAGCTCTTAGTGTTTCGTTAGGTGGCAGCAAACGCCTTTAAATTATTTTACTTTTAATGTTTGTTCATTAGAACTTTGCGTACCTGTTAGTCATTCCAATTACAAGAACATTGTTAAGGCTCTCTACTCCATCAATCTTCGACAGCAGTTGGTTTACAACGGTATCATGCACACCGCTAGCTCCAGCCATCGAACCCCGCTGTTTGCAAATTGCGTCGATCTCGTCGAAAATGATGATATGCAGTCCAGAATTGATACCTAGACGTTTTTGCTCCTGGAACGATACAGTAGTTCGTATTTGATAGATATTATGTGTTTCATCACTGGGTCCTTGCTTATCGTTATAACTCCATTGTTGTTTTTTAATATCAACTTGGTTTATCTAGACGATAGTAAAATTTAAGGCACGTACCTCCTCAGCATCCTCGAAAAGCTTTCGGATGTTAGCCTCTGACTCTCCCACGTATTTGTTCAAAATTTGCGGTCCATTGACAATCTTGGGCTCCCGTCCATTGAGCATTTTTCCAATTTGACGAGCCATCAAGGTCTTGCCCGTTCCCGGCGGGCCATACAAAAGAATACCTCGAACATGTTTCAGATCTGCGTCGAAAGCAATAAGAAAATATGAGAAAGTATAAATGTTCATATAAGAGAAAACCAGTCTCGTTTCATATGTAAATCTGAAGGCTCAAGTGTCCAAAAAAATCCGTCCCATGTTTCAAATAACACTCTTCTCTCTATTTTAGTGTTTGACTAAACAGCCGTGTAACAGAATTGTTTAGCCATGCAAATGAACGAACGAAGGCCTACAAGGGCACGATCAAGTCCCATGTAAGTATAATGGAGCATAGTATACGATAAGGGCGAAGCACTACTCACTAAGCTGTTCGATAATTTCAGGTGGGAAGACTCGGGAGGCAAATGCTCGACGAAAGATAGCGTTGAATTGCTCGTCTAAACCACCGATGCCCATTTGACTGAAGTCCCAGTGGGGATTGATGAGTGACTGTCGCACTACTTTTCCCTTCGATGATCCTGTCAGAGTAATGTTTGCTCTGGGAACAAATTTTAAAAATTGCAAAAATACTTAAAGTATACATCGTAGCTTAGTTCGAATATACAAACATCATCTGTTTAATTGTTTCAATCTGTCCAACCTTCCAAGCACAATATACAGCTTTCATTGCGCTTTGACTTACATCTGTAAGTGCAACATTTATCAAAAATTTACCATACGTATAACGTGTCCGCTCATTATTTCACGTCCTGAATTAGGGAAATAAAACATGCCTGCAATCTTTAAACACTTAAGAAGGAAGCAAAGTTAATAGCCTACCTATGAAACTTTCGTGTTCGTATTCTATAACTGGAACTATTAGCAGGAACGATAATTTTTCATTTTGATCAAATATGAATTTCATATTGATCAAATATACGATATTTCAGTGTCGCTTATATCTTGCACGAATGAACGATTACATACACGCATGTCATGCACCGCAGGTAAAAGGAACTACTAACCCGTCAGCACGATTAAAGCAAACAGCCGCATCGGGCAATAACAGACCGATTTCAGTCTTGTGAGGTACAACGGAGGATTTATCTCCGCCTTTGAGTGCGTCCAAACTTGCAGCTTCCATCTCGGTAACAAGCAGTTTCATGAGTTTGTTATTAAACTGAAACGCCACCTATGCAGTGATGCAAAGAAATAAGAAAATATATGGCTATATATGTTGGAATATATAAAAGAAACACTTCATTCTATAGCTATATGCAACAAAAGTCTATTTCCGAAAGCTAAGTGGCTTCTAAAACAATGATCCCGGCTCCCTGTTTTGCTCATCTACCTATTGAACACTTAGGTTGAAGAAAAATTGCCCATGGTTAACCACATTTGATGTCATAAGTATACAAAACTAGAATATCCTTTCTTAACTCGATGCTACGAAACCTACGCTTAGCAGGCTCATTGTGTACGCTCACATTTTCGTGCGTGCGTGCGTCAACATGAATGTAAAAGTAAATAGGACCTTGTCTCCTTTTCAAAAACGACCTCTTTTTCTCTGTATCGATTTACCTTCTGACAGAATATTAATATAGAGACAAACGCGCTCCCCAATAAGCGTCAATATGAAAAGACCAGCAGCCGTTCAAACGAGCTGTGCCCATGACTTTGGTGGTTGTGTAATTTAATAAAAACAATATCTAACGATAAATTCATATGTAACAATGTATTACAGATATTGGGACTGATCAAATAGAACACCCGCGCAATTCAATCATCGTAAACAAACAACAGCGCCCTCTGCTTACCATTTGTCCAACTGTGAATGCTTGTTTTGGAAATTGTTGAGTGAATACAGTAGCCATCTTATCAGTGTCGAAAGGTTCTTGGGTGTACCTGTAAATAATATAATCATACAATTAATATATTTTTAGTGTACTGCTGTTAGTACAATTAGTATAATAATAAAATTTTTGTATCGATATTGAAGCTTATACGGTCTTAGAATAGAAGCCCATTTTCGCCCATCGAACGATACATCTGGATGAGCTCAATTAGGACTTACTGCTTTTTATCGAGGAAATCGATGTCCAAAGAAATTTTGGCGATATATTGCTTACTGGGGTCAAATGTGTACGGACGCACATCTATCACCTGTCCAATGCTCAGTTCAGCCCATTTACGCATTATCAAAGAAAACCCCATGCAGCCCGGTTTCATTTGATCCGAGAGTTGAATTGTGAAGACATATTTTCGCCCGTTACACATGATAAGCATATGTCTGAAACATGAAATCAGTCACATCTTAGCGGCAATTGTTGATCTTTGGATGATATCGATGCGTTATTAGCAGCATTTCGAACTTCCTCTATGTGTTGTATGCTTGCCTGTATAGCTTCTGTATATATATATATATATTAATCAAGAACATGAACAAACCACGACGGCTCAAACCATTTGGAGTACATACTGTGTATGTTTTTCTTCTTTATATATGAACATAGCTAACATATTATGCGTATTTATTGTTCTAAAATTTCACAAAAAAAATTCTAATATAATACGTAAATAAACAACTATAGTCAAGAGCAAAGTTCCTTTTTTTTTCCCACTTAATTAATGGCTTTGCTTAAACAGAAAATTCGGCGTGCTCTTCTACAAGACAGAATGCATGGGTTTCTTCGCTTAATGTAAAACACATGTTTGGCTCAACAAGTCGAAATTTGAAATTTTTCCCGAAGAGCTACCTTCAATGAAAATCTACAGCGGTGTTTTACTTTATTGTTCTACGTATACTTAACAAAAGCTTTAATCTACTTGGCCGTTTTATACACTTCTACGTAAGAAGCCATATAAACACACAGGTGTTAGTAACGAATGTTATTACCAGATTTCGAAGATCGAATTAGACTCAAGAAATTCGAAATTAGTACGACACCTGCAACTTGTTCGTTCTAGTACCCCCTCCCCCCACCCCATCACTGTTCTTACCTGCATTTTTCATCGGGGCAGTCGCTCGGATTCATAATCGCGCAGTTGGTGAGAGATAACTTGTCCATCGGGCATTTCTCCGCTTTTAGTTGCTTTATAGTTTTTCGAGACAGCAAGAAATTTTGGAAGAATTAAATTATGTTTCCATACGTCTCTCGGTCAACGGTAGCCACTAAATTTATTATTCAATTATTTGGTAACCATCTGCAGTACTTATAAGAAGCTTATGTCATTATCGTTCACTGGGCATATTCAAATTAGGTAATAAGATAATTAGATAAGTGTCTATAATTTGTTCGAATCATGGTGCAGCAATCTTTTTATCAAGTAAGAAAACATTAACCTGTGCTAAGCGTCTCGCTGTTCGTGAAATGGATCGCTATAATTAGTGAGATAGTATTTGAGCTATTTTATTAGACTGGCAGAGCGTCGAGCGGTACGAGAAACAGCTTTGCCCGTACCAAAGCAGTTTCGAACATAGAGCATTTAGCTATTCCCGACTGACTTACCATCGTGGCCATCCTGATAGATGACTAGGAAACCTCGTTTGCGACAAAACCACACACACTGTTTAAGTAGTTGTGAATAGTAGGCGTACACTACAAATCGCCGCTCTAACACTTTAGCGTTTTTCACACCTTCACAAAATAAGAGAAAGTGCGTTCCCACATACAGGCGATTTACCACTGCATCGCTGAAAAGACGCCATTAGGATTTCTGATCTGTCAGCACTAGCCGATAACAGCACGCATAAGTCAATGCTTGTTGTTAAGATGGCCGACTTCGCCCATTATTAACTATCACTGGCAACGGAAAATTACAATCATAGTTTGATAACATACGGTTTCGCAGCATATACTATCCCATAAAGGAAAGAAATATCAAATACGCTTTTTGGGCTAGATTATTATTTTATTTCTTCCTGTTCGTCACGTGGACGATGATAAGATTCTATGCTATTTACTGGATGCCTTTTGATACCTAAATGATAACTATGCGTAAAATTAGCCATTTGAAACTCGAAAATTAACAACTGCGAAGGCCTAAGTAGCAGGAAAAAGCTAATGAAAATCTGAACAAATGCATTACTTCGCTGTCACAGGTGCGCCTATAAAAGTCTTTTGCCACGGTCTCACAACCCGATTTCCGCGCAGCGCGGTTACGCGCCCAACGATCCAAGTCACAGATTAGGTCACAGATCAGTTAGGCATTGACTGAATTTATTGTGTAAGTTAATTATTAGAAAGCACTGGTAAAAATGACGTCAAATCCTGTTTCTATTAGCTCTGCACTAATTCAATATAAGTTATGGTTCTGTGTAGTGCCTATACCTAGTATACGACAAACGGCAGCTCACCTGTACGTGGAACAGCTGACGATGCTATGCTGCAAGAGCCGAGTTCTGCGTCTATCTCTGTTTGAGTATATCAATAAGGTTTCGTGTACAGAACCGTTCGAGCTACATCTGATTTGGCCAGGGGCTATTTTGGTTTTTAGCTGTAGGAACTTCTGTGAAGGTTGCACATCTGTAGTATACGAATAATCTAAACTTAGCGCACGCCCATACAAGTGAGCTCGTTTGTAGGTATGAGGGAAAAAACAATGATGTTTAAACAAAGGTTTCTCCTTTGCTCATTCATAACTTAGTATTTATCCTTTTAGCTATAATAAACGCCAATAGCTATTTTATTGGTATAGGAATATTTTTTTCAAGGCTTCTGAAGATGTTCACATAGATTATTTTTATTTATACTGCATTGTTGCTTGTATCTATAGCGAACTGATACCGACATTTCTGGTGTAGCAGGATCTGCGACAATGGCAAAAATATCTTATTGAAGTATTTCATTCACAAAATTGTGGCCCTGATGTAAGGCCAGATTTTTCTCGGTGAAATGTGAATTTTGATCACGATGTAAACAGTTAAAGCTAAACCTTCGCTCAATGCAACCCAAAACATTGAAAGCCAGGTGACGTTAATAGATAACGGATCGACAAGAATCGATGAATTTTTTAAGGTTCAAGATTCATATTGGGGATTTTACTTTGGATGTTCCCATTATATTATATAAGTACCAAACTGTTTCTGTATGGTGATACACAGTAAAGAGTTTTATCGTAGGTGTGCATAAGTAATATGGTCCGAGACACAGACTTTAATCGTAGATAGTACTTATTTTGTAGTAACTTCATTTACTTCGAAAAATCAGGCAACGTATATTTTTGCATGGATTCGGACTGGCCGACGAATGCGAGCTGTCTATCATCGTGATGAGTCGCTTGAGTTCCTGCAATAAATGCGTGCTAAACTTCACTTCAAAAGGTGTCTTTGACTTTGGAAAGCATCATTTCAGAGCCTTTGTTTATTATTCCGCATACGCTCTGTTGATCTGTACAGATAAAAGAACCGACATCTAGAGCCTACAAGATACGTCCCCCATAATTGTGCAATCTTCTAAAAGATAGAAAAAATATTAAAAATGAAATTGTCGCTTATTTTTCGTATATGCATTGCCTACTGGGCGACTGCGGATCCTCCAGTGAACCACCTTTCAGGACGTGTCTGATCACCATAAATGAACTGTACACTGCTTCCGTTAAATGGGCGGGTTGTGATTCGATGATGATTGATTTTTTCGTAGATCCCTATATATATATATATATATATATATATATATACTAATATATATATATATATATATATATATATATATATATATATATATACGTATATATATATATATATCATCGTGTTCAAGTAAGACACTAAATTTTAATTAGAATTGCAATAACACCTTGCACATCCTAGATGAATGATTTATCAATAGAATACTTTATAAATAAAGCAATTCCAGACACAGTAGCTGCGAAATAGTGTGAAATTTTAATACAATAAAGAGATCAAACAATTACAAATAAAATTGTAGAGAGAACAAGCTGATTTGATAGAATAAAATATTGACAAGGAAATAAAAAGTTCTTGCGTATCCGTAAACCAACATAGCACTGAATTAAATGGACTACAATGAAAAATAGCTATGCTACAGTACTTATTGTTTTCGTGTATAAAAATAGTGGTCCAAAGATTTACAGCGGAGAGATTGGTTATTTGATCTACCAAACGGTGTCTGTTCAGAGCTAGATGCCGACGGCTTCTTCTACGTATAAGTGTAGAATTGATACATTTTATAAACCGCATAAATCAGTTCTAACAAACATTTCTTCTAAGATCTTGTTTCTAAAGGTTCTTTTAACCCTTCCGTTTATCGTATCACCGCTCTGCGTCTTACCCACCCACCCCAGAACATGGATCGGCAAAAAATCTTGAGCGTCGACGAGTTCTGGACACGCATCTCGGCCAGTGAATAACATAATCATTACCACCAAATCGCGAAATCTTCCTAATTCAACTTGTGATTAAATTATGCCATGCGTGTAGCTGTCATTAGCCAGTGCAGATAGTGCGAGGCACAGATTCAAGCGATTTCGGTGAGCGTGTTATCCATCTGCCACGCCTGAGACCCGCACGTCCTTATAGTTTAGGATTAATGGTATACCGATGGACCACAGGTTGGGGCTAGTCATCGATTCGAACGATTCAATCTCTCACTTTTTAATTTTATTTTTACAAATTTTATTTTTTGAGAAATTGTTACAACGAAGCTGGGCTTTTTACATCCTACGAAATTGTCGGAAACAACGGGCTGTTATTGACAAACATGGGCCATTCGTTACTTTACGAAATAATGCAGCATGCCTTAGATGTTCGAGGCGAGCCTAATCTTGTTGGATAAAACACTATTGATTTTTACATATTACATACAGAGCTGATCCTACATATGAGTTATAAATTGAAATAGTAGTGTATTGGATATAAACATAACATCTTCGACAATCATATATCATACCTGTGCCGCTTATTGGAAAATCCATTATACAACGATCGATATTTCATTCATAACTGAAAATGTAATATTGAAATCGTACGAGAAAGATGCCAAATAACAATTACAGTATTCTGGTGTTCTTTTTTTTGTTTATCTTATAAACTATCTACTCAACAAATGTCGATGTAATAAAATAAAGAATTTAAGATGTGATAAAGATATATAAAGGAAGAAGACTAGAATGTAAAAAATATAGTGCAAGGAATTATATTTATTAACCAGAAACATTTTCATTAATACGATGTAATACTTAAATAATATGTAAAACATCGTATTAATAATAGCAATTGCTGCTATTATAGATAGATAGAAGCTGCTCCCTGGAGTTTAAAAGCTTAGGAAGGGCCGTGATGTCCAACTACTCCTCATAATGGCTTACATAGTGAAGAATCGTTCTGAAAGTATCGTCTGGTGCGTAATTACGTGGTGCGTGTTTGGCTCCAGACAATGCTCTTATAACCAAAAGTGTACGCCCGAAATGTTGGTCATGATCAGCCGATATGCCACGATCCTATATTGATTCTCAGCACGATCAAATGATGATTAATCTATCAACACAAATTGCAATTTGCGTCGATAGAGATTTCAACTACGTTTCGTTTGCGACGAATGGTCCAGACAATACGTTGGTCGACTACGTCTTCACAATGCCAAATCAATTGTACCAGTCTTTCAGAATTTTGTTACTGGATATAGCTTCATTATAACATTCCGACTATCTATATTAACCCCACTGGTATCATTGTACTCAATTGAATCCCCGCGAATCTAAGTGAGTTCAGTGAACTTTCATTCGAGCGTTTTGTGATGGTTGATATTCTTGCGATGGCCGACAACGATGATGATGAAGTGAAGAGAGATGTCTGCACCCCATTAACGCAACTAATGTATTCTGCAATACAACAACCTGACAGAGAAATGCTAGGCTCAATGTTGTGTACTTAAGGTTTTTCAGCGTCTGGAAATCCTGAGATGGAATTAAAAGTTTATCCGGACCAACGTCGATCGACCAGCCGCTAAGTTCAGTCATCAACAAAGAAGTGGGGAAACTTGAAAACCCATCTTTTTCCTCACAGGGAATATTTGATAAACAGGATCATTTTTAGGCTATCCACTGAAAAAAACTTTAGCAATCCCCCTACCTGTTCACTTACTATAAACAAAAAATTTAATTAGAGACTTTTCGCTATTTTGTCTTCGGTCGTATTTTATTTTATGTTGTGACGGGGTTTGCTCTGGTTGCGTAGGATTTAAAATAATCGCTATGTCACCGGAAACTAAATTGCCAATTTTCAAAATTCTCCTAAATCTCTGGCATTTAATGATTGATCATGACAATCGACCACGTAGTGGACGCTTAGTAATTTTCCAGTGATATAATATTAATTAAGCAGCTGTTCTGTAAGTAACATAACAACATAAAACGGAGTATCAACCAAAGCCTAATGCCATATCATAGCTACTTGTAAACATCACAAGCATCGAAATCCTCTGTTATACAACTAAAATTTACTTTAAGTTATTGCCTATCATTTACCCAAAAACAAGAAAACTTGCTCATCATTCTCCAGACGCCTGTCCTATTTAGGTAAATGCTGCTATCAACAATTAGACTGTTTTCATTGCATGGAACAAGAAATTCATCTTGCAACCATGGTATATTTTTGTACTGTTAACCCTGCCTTGTCTTGAAGTTTTGACGAATCAGCCGTAATGAGTCAGCAAAATTTCAAGCTACAACGATGAT